GATCGAGCCCCGCATTGGGCTCCCTGCTCCGTGGGAAGCCTGCTTCTCCCTCTCCCACTCCCCCTGCTTGTGTTCCCTCTCTCGCTGTCTCTCTCTCTCTCTGTCAATTAAATAAATAAATAAAATCTTTAAAAAAAATAAAACTTTAGGCTGAGGATTAGATTTATATTACTGAATTAATCAGGAGATTGGAATTCATGTTGAGAAAAAAAATGGAAGTTGGAAAGGGTTGTTGTTACCTGAAGTTCTAAAATGTGCAGAAAACTCAATAGAAGAATGATAGTTTGTAACTTTGAAGGACTCTCCCAATAGCTTTAAATCCCTTTTGGGAAGAGGCAGGGAAATTAATAAATGCAAATGTCCCACCTAAGTTTTGAATTGAAAGTGCTAGGATGTATATAGTGAAATAAAGTCTAGAAAACTCATCCCAGGGCACCTGGGTGGCTCAGATGCTGAAGCGTCTGCCTTCGGCTTGGGTCATGATCCCAGGGTCCTGGGATTGAGTCCTGCATCGGGCTCCCTACTCCTTGGGATCCTGCTTCTCCCTCTGCCTCTCTCTCTCTGTCTCTCATGAATAAATAAATAAAATCTTTAAAAAAAAAAAAAACTCATCCCATTGATACCATGTAACCTGAATAGCAGGAAGCAAAAGCTAAAGTGTGCTCGTTTTTTATTTCATAATAGTAGGGTTCTTTATCTTATATAAATGATCCCAAAAAATTGAACTGCCTTCTGCAGGACATTCCATTGATATGACTACCTAAACTGCTCCCACTTCTGTGGGTGCCTGGCATGTGGGAGGAGAAATGTATGTCTGAAAGACTCAGCATTTGTGAATGAAACTTTTGGACTAATACATCTTAAAAATTACGTGTCTGTATATCATTTGGTCCAAGCCTTAGCCCTGCATTTTAGAAAATACATTTTGGCTTTTAATTAGACAACTGTACCTGTTAAACATTTTCTTATGCAACCAAACATATATTTAATATACAATTTTTTTTTTTACTCAAGAGGATCCTAGAAACCTCCTCTTTAAGAATTTTCACAGCAGCTTTTTCCAGAGAAGGAAAAGCTAGTAAAAACTTACCAGATGTGCTGCTTATTTATTAGCAACTTTGAAGGTTCAGATGGGGGAGTGTTGAAATAAATGCTAATGTTTAAAATTTTCTATATAACGTGGTGTAGTGTAATGATCAACGGCATGGTCTTTGTGAGTTCAACATCCATTCTACTCCTGACTTCCCCACTTAATTCCTGGCTGTGTGACTTTGGGGAAATTACTTAACGTCATTGATTTGTCTTT